TGGTCCTGTGTGAACCTCATGAGGTTCAACAAGGCCAAGTGCAAGGTCCTGCACCTGGGATGGGGCAACCCCCAAAATCAGTACAGGCTGGGGGATGAAGGGATTGAGAGCAGCCCTGCAGAGAAGGACTTGGGGGTACTGGTGGACACGAGCCAACAATGTGCGCTCACAGCCCAGAAAGCCAACCGTATCCTGGGCTGCATCAGAAGAAGCGTGGCCAGCAGGTCGAGGGAGGTGATTCTGCCCCTCTGCTCTGCTCTGGGTAGACCCCACCTGGAGCACTGCATCCAGCTCTGGGGCCCTCAGCACAGGAAAGACATGGACCTGGTGGAACAGGTCCAGAGGAAGGCCACAAGAACGATCAGTGGAATGCAACACCTCTCCTATGAGGAAAGGCTGAGAGAGTTGGGGTTTTCAGCCTGGAGAAGAGAAGGCAGCAGGGAGAACGTATTGCAGCCTTCCAGTACTTAAGGGGGGCCTATAAGAAAGATAAGGACAATCTTTTTAGCATGGCCTGTAGCGACAGGACAAGGGGTAATGGTTTTAAACTAAAGGAGGATAGATTCAGACTAGATATAAGGGCGATGTTTTTTACAACGAGGGCAGTGAAACACTGGAACAGGTTGCCCAGAGAGGTAGTGGAGGCCCCATCCCTAGAAACATTCATGGTCAGGTTGGACGGGGCTCTGAGCAACCTGATCTAGTTGAAGATGTCCCGGCTCATTGCAGGGGGGTTGGGCTAGATGATCTCTAAAGGTCCCTTCCAACCCAAACTTTCCTGTGACGCTATTTTAGAATGCACTGACTGTAAAGTCTGGCATGAGTAAAACCACTACATAAGGCAGCATATAGTAGAGCCACCCCTAAATAATCTGCCACTCTGCAGCTTTTATATATCAATTTTTGCTCTTTCTCAATGCTACCCAAACACAGCATTCTGCAATATAACCCAGTGGCCTCAAATCCCATTGAAGCAACTGGAATTTGATGAGGGCCAACTTCTTACCAAGGCCTTAATAATTTCAGATGTATTTAATAAACCACAAGTTAACTTGGTGACAATACATACATGAAATAGTAATTTAACTTTTTTATTTTTTACACATTCATACGCTTGCTTAAAATATAATTTAGGTTATGAAAATCTATCCTATGTTCTTATTTGAATATCCCTGCCTCTCCAATTCTCCTCTTGTATCAGCCACCATAATTCTACTATCTACTATGAAGTAGTCCATCACTTCCTCATCCCAACCAATTCTGATCATCCTTTCACCGAATTCCCCACCCCACTTTCTATCAATTATCGCAATTTTTCCTCAGAAAGGTCAGAAATAACACTCCCCTTGTCTCTATCAACACTTCAAAATTCTGACCACTTCCCTGATACAGAACAGGTACGTGATAAATTTAGGCCTAGATTACAGAAGGGGAAACTTGCCAGACCATGAATAGTGGTGCAGCTACACAAGCAGATTCCTCCCAGCATATTATACTAGCAAAACTGTTCTGAAGGTAATGCTAAAATCAGTCTCCAGACAAAATAAATTATATACTGCCAAAAGGCGGCTACAGGTTTGTTACAACTGCATTGTAAAACACAAAACTGAACTGCTCAAAACTTCCAAAACAAGTGAAATGCCCCAAAGATTACTGTAAACCTGGCTTTAGTCTTAGGGTCTGAAAGTTGTGAAAACAAAAACAGTATTTCATTTTACTTTTTAGGTAATCTGGGGATGCTTTGGATGCCTTTGCACTTCAGGATAAAGCTGCAACAGCACTCAGAAAATTAGTTTAAAAGGTTTTGGTACCCACAAGGAGAACATTAAAATAGCATGACATCTGGAAAAGTAAGACCTTGCAGTTTTGGGGGACAGCAAATTTTTTCAGAAATTTTCATGAGGTGGAAGTAGTATACAGAACAACAGGAAAAGGAGAAACTGAGATGAATGAGCATGACAGTAGACTCAGGCTTGTAAAAAGCAGTGCTTTAGTATTTCAATAATTAAGGACTTCAGGATGTGAGAGATATGAAAGATCAGGAAATTCACAGGAGCTTCCAAGATCAAAGGCAGCATCAAATATGCAAAACAGTAAATGCTAAAGATTACTGCATGTTTCACAAAAAAATGCATGCAAGATGCATAGCTCTGATCAACCTACGATCCATACGCAGACACCACCAGAATGACTGAATGCAACCTGACCAAACTAGCTGCCACTGCTTCATCCTCACTTGGAAGAGAACGACTTCCTAGCATTAATCTAGAAGATAACATCTGACACAGGCCAATATCCCGTCATTTTCTAGCGATATAATAATAGTAAAAATTGCATTATCCTACATTTCATAATCCTTCCACTTATTTCAAGAGGATTAAGTGATAATGAACATACGTTAGTACTCTTATTTTACCATCAGTTAGCAGGCAGTAGTAGTTAGGAGACTTGTTTTGCAATATTAGAGGCACGTAGATGGAACAATGCTTCCAAACTAAAACAGAAGTTACCTACATGAAGTCTGACATTCCCTAAACACAGTTAACTGAAACACTCAGGAAATACTGTCTCTCAAGCATGGGCCTTTGTAGACAATCTGTACCATAAGTTTAGTCAGCTGGTGCCAGTAAAAGTTACAACCTCCACAAGAAGATGAAATAAGTTATATCAATGAACAGTGATATTATTTTAAGATTAGTAGTTGTCAGCCTGCCCTGTGCACTGCATCTCATGCAATATAACTGTTCAGGACTGAACTTTTAAGAACAAGCTATTTCCAAGATACAAAAAAATGATGAGGTTAGAACATTTTTCTGTTATGTAAAAAGCATTATTTTAGTCCTCGAAAATAACTTGCCAGATTTACCCCATGCTGTCTTCAAGAAGTTAGTTTTCAGCTTCAGTTTAAGCAAGTGAAAATCATGTCAAAGAGTACTTGAAAAGTGTATTTGTGAAAGTTAAAACTGCTTTACAAGGAAAATATCTCTCAATCAGAACTACACAATCCTACCCATAAGTTACCTGTAAATCACATATTCAATTATTATGGTTAGTGTTAACCCACTGAACCAAAAGCCAGCATCAAAACACCATAAACCTCAAAGATGTGCACTCCAGCTCCAAATGTATTACTAATCATAATACTAACACATTTACTGCATGTCAAGTTTCCTCAAATGAGATGGAACACTTACTAAACATTGAGCTGTAATACTTAGTCACTCAATCATGCTTTTCAGTTGGGGAATGAAGTACATTTATAGCACATTTTGAGGAAGCCTGTGCTTATTGCTACTATACACAACACAGGCATAAAACACGACTTATTCCTAGTGTCTCAGTTTTTGAAAGACACTATACTCCTGATCTGAATCTGAAAAAAAAAGCAAAACTACTTTTCAACAGGGCACAATGCATCATCCAAAAGGGGGATTCCTATTGCTACATTGTCCGCTGTGTCTTAACATGTGAACCAAGCAAGATTTTAAAATACATCTTAAGCTATAATTTTTTACAAGGAATGACACTCATTTACCTGAGACTCCACAGTGACTGTGATCATAGAGATGTTGCTGGTGCATGGTAGATTTTTTGTATATAACATGAGGATGACCATTTTCATAATTAAAGTTACTAGAATCTTCTGTTATATTCCTTAAAGGTTCAATAAAATACTCTTCATCTTCTGTAGCAATGACTCCATGCTTAAAGAAGAAAATAAGAGAATAAAAACTTGCAGAAGAGTATATAAAACTCCTATTAAAAAGCTTAACTTTAAAAAACATTTGACTGTCATCTATCTCTGAAGCTTTAAGCCAACACAACAAACAATGCATAAGCCAGCTCACCTCTGCTGATTTTAGTGGGAGCAGGAGTAAGTGCCTAAGCAACACAATGAGAAAAGAATAAAAAAAATCATTGCCCTATTTCTGTAGTTCTTTCCTATCATTTTTGGTGGATATAGTAAGAAAGCAAGAGATATTCTCAGTATATGACAAATAATCTTTTCACAGAGATGTTCCAAAACTAAATGATTCGCATCCATTAAGTGTGACACCAAGCCAAAATGGCCTTGCTCAAATGATGAGACCAATATCCCTCTATGATGCCATACTGGTAGACGCTTGAAGACACATACTGCATCAAAGAAAAACAGCATGAAGGATTGGTTTTAGAACATATATTAAGGGAAACCATTCAGCATTTTACATCCAGATGCCTCATTCCAAAACTGAGCTAGTTATTAAAATGAAATTATTCATATTAACTTAGGATACACTATCTACAAAGCATTTATTCCTCAAAAGGTCTTGCCACAAATCTGGCAAATCCAAGTTGTTGCAGACTGTGCACAAGACCTTATTCTCCATAACAGATGAACATTTTTTCTCTCGTACTGCAGTACAGAATAGTAGATATTTTATTCTTATAACTTTCACATTTGTGAACTCAGCTTCTTCCAAACAGGAAGTGGTTTATGGAAGAAAGGGGAGATTTCAGGCCAACTATGCAATTTCCTGAACCTTCAGCAATTAAAACTGAACTTTAGCAGAAAATCCAGGTTTGGGATCCATTCAGATATAGAAATATTGGGGAATAAGCCCTGACAGACTCCTACACCTATATTTGCTAAATAAAAGAATTCTGGTATCCATATCTAGGAATTTCTGAATGTATGAACTTTCCACGTCAGGAGAAAGAGCTACTCATCAGATAGGAGACTGGAAGCAGGAACTTCTGCATTCGTATCCTGATTTGACAAATCACAAATTTATACCACACCTTTGATCTGTAAAGCAAGTACTATGCATAAGCCTTTTTTAAAGGGGTTATTTTTTTCCTCCGATGAGACCTCTATGATTGATCATCCGTAAGACCACTTGCCCCATATCTGCTCCAAATACCATAAAGCTGTTTGTAAGATCAGGGCTTGCCATTCTACTCTGGGTCAAAGCTATCATCCTGCTGCTGGTTTGCACATCAAATGCCTGATCTTTACTCCTGGAATAACTGGATTTCAGTAACAACATCAAACTTAAAATAAAAAATCCTGTATAACACATCAGAAAGAACAGTGTTTTCCTAATATAACCCTACTATAAATTTTGAAAATATATGTATGAACACGCTGCAGCTTTCAATTACACATTCCTTACATAGTGACTACAACAGTAAGTACTCCTCTTCAGCATTATGTTTCATTATGAACTCAGTTATTTACTCAAGAAGGTAACATCAGGGTCTACATTCACCTGGAAGATGCTGGTATCAAATTCCTCTCACAATGCCTTCTTGTTACTTGGAGTCTAAGATTTTACTAGAAAATAAATCATTTACTGGTACACTGCTGCTTAAATAGTATTGAAAATATAAACCAAATTGTAACTGGGTTTGCCAGATGTGCAGCAAGAACCTTGACAGTCTGGACTACATCCAGTCTGGATGTCAGACATCTGGGTTCAAGCAAATCCTGAGCTGTTATAAGCTCTGGTATTATGTTCCCACAGGAAAAGAGTCCTGCAGAGTGGTTCTGGCCAATACCATCAGGCTGTCCACTTCACGCCAAGCCTGAGAAGACAGAGGTACCATCCAACCTGTGGCTCTGCCTCTGCAACAGAGCAGGTCTTAAGCTACCTCTGATGAGTACAGATACGAAAGATGCATGCTCCAGAGTACAGTCCACCCAGGTTAACAAGTCTAAGCATGAATGAGACATTTGTATCAGAAACTGAAACTGGTAGTTTTAAGCGGTGAGATGTCCTCAGTGGGAGTGAGTCAATTCAGATGCCATAAACAACACAATTGAAGCATTAATTCTCTGTACAAATTGCATATTTGCAGGAGCAAATATGCAAAAACTATTACAAATGTCTGCAAACTACGATCACAGTTCCTTCAGGTACCAGCAGTGAAAAAGGTTAGGAAAGTACCGCTAATTTTTCCTATGCCTAGTTGACATCTGATCTCATCTGCCTGGAACACTATGGTGGTTTAAGAAAAAAGAGATTTTAATAACAATTAGTTGAGGAACTGCAAATAAATTTTAACTTACATCTACCACCAGGTAGTGACAACATTTATGTGGTCACTTTCAGCCAGCCATGTGATTTGATAAACAGTGGAAACGCAACTGCCCTGTATATGCCCTTCACATAAGACCAGCATATGCATACCACTTTAAACTTAATATTAATTTTGCCTGCAAACAAAATTTTCTTCCAATATTAAATTGATGCAAGCAGTACTGTTGAATTGCAGTGACTGATTTTTAAGTAGTACTCTGAATTCTGTACATAAAAAGTACCTATGTCAGTGACAACCAGCATCTATTCCGAGTTTAGAAAATCTGTGTGGCTAGAGATACCTCCGTTGTATATGCATTCAGCAATGTCTGATTAATAAATAGTGGGAATTATGCTATTATAGCCAAACCAACATTCTAAACCCCGTTTTTGGCTTACAATCTACTATTTGAGCAAAACACAATTTCAGTTGAAAAGGAGATTGAAATAATGCCCTTTTAAAGAATTAAAAGGAATTAATTTTAATTTTCTTTTAGTTTTGCTATTGTATTTGAACAGTTTGTAAATTAAACTTCTGCTCTAAAGCATTAAGAAAAATCATTAAGACATATGAATGACCAGCAAAAGGTTTTGACAAAATACCATGAATTTAAGAAACAAGCTGAATGCCCCAAGTAGGTTACTACAAGCAACATTCCCAAGATTATTATCTAAAACAGATTGTTTGAGGTCCTGTGTTATCCAATCCCACTACAGACTGCCAACTCCTGCTAACATATATAAGGTCCGGATCCAGCAGTTTGACATGCTCAGACAAATCTGTGAATCCACATGGAGTTCTCCTGAATTTGTGAAAAGGAATCTTTTTCTGTTAGGCTGTCCAGCTGGGGCATTAACCTCCTTCAGATGGGGGATGTCCATCAGCCGCAGAAGCAAACTGTATTATGGAGGACAAGTAAGCGCGTGCCTTCTCCAGACAATACTATTGTTTTACAATTTCTCCATGCCTTGAATCTTTCTAGACTTTATGCTTTATCCATTTTTAATGTAAAGTAGTAGCTTCTGAAAGTAGTAACTTCTGAAAATGTGTCAGTGTTGTTCAGTATGTCTACAGCTGGCTATACACTTCAGTGTGGTTTTATGACTGAGGAAAAAGATTGCAGTAGCTTACTGTGTTCTTAAAGATGAAAAAAATAATGATCTGGCCTGAGACAGTATATCATGGAATCTAACAAGACACCTTAAAACTAGGACAGGGACAGCTTATATATAATTTTCTGAATACTAAGTCTATACTGCAAATCCATATTAGTACCAAAGAGAACTCCAAAGACACTGATCTAGAACACTAAATCCTTTTCACTGTAATTTCTGATCTTTATAAATTATCTTATAAGGTAGACATTAATTTACATATGATTCAAAGATACCATACTATATGCAATTTATAATCTGCAAAAGTAGATGCATTCTTTATGGTAGAATCAGCTTTCAAATGAGCTACTTAAAGAAGAATATGAATAATTTTTACATATATGAATCTAGGAACACATGAAACAAGCATGAAGGCTTCCAGCAAAATAATTCCTCATTTAACCAAGTAAGGCCATGCTTTAGCCACAGCTTACTTCTTGTGCTTTCTTTATCATTTCTGTTTGGATGGAGACATCTGTGCTACCCAGCACGAATGTTACTCAGTGCATGGAACTTCACATGCCATGGAAATACTTGGCCTTTTACATTAAATACTTCCTTGGAACCACAGTAGCCTCAAAACATGATTTAACCTCTCATTCACTTTCCTAATAATAATCAATTTCCACACATTTTAAAGTATTTCCCACTACTGGGCTTTTCAGCACAAAATGAGAAAATCCGCTACTGCGGAAAGCTTGTTCGAGCACTCAGTTGAGAGCTTTGACACCTGGCAGAGGACAGAGGTGGATAAGAATGCAAGAAGTTTGGTTTCTGCTCGATTCCACTACTATGAGCTCCAAACTTTTCTTCTTCAAGACTTGCTCCCCTCAGAATTAGACAAACTTCTTTTGCTTGAGGTGAAGTTGTCTCCTCAACCCAGTCTACTACTGTTTCTTCCCTTCTTTCCTTCAATATGACATACTCAGTTTAGGCAATGCCTCAGCCTTGTTGCCTTGCACCAACATCCAAAGGCCCCAAAATGCTGCTCATTGCAAGCTCTTTCATGACAAGGCCAAACCTGCAATCCATCCACAAACGTAACATCCGCTAAGTAAATATGAGTTTGGAAGCCAGCAAGCCTGCCGGACAAGACCTTCAATTTCCTCACATGACTGCTCACTGGATTATAGAGCTTTCCTCATAACTTCAGACAATTTATAGCATAATCAGGGCCCAGCAGATGGAAACTGCTGGAATGAAACTTCAGTAAGTAGCAGCCTGTAATTCTGGGGCACTTGGTCATGAGAAATATAGAGGGAGAGGCTGAAACAGGAAACAGTGACAGGGAAATGAACTGACTGCTCATCATGTTTATTATAATGAAACTGAGAGAAAGCCCTCCTTGCACCAGAACTGATCTCAGATAATACAAGAGTTCTTCAAAGTAATACAACTTATGTTAATTAGATGATGGCCTCACCTGAGCACACTGAATAAAAAGATTCACTAAGGGGAAGAAATATGACTCATTTGGCAATACTGAAACCTAACACGACAACTGGAATAAACGGAATGCTTAAATTTTGTTTGTGAGCAACACTCACTGTTAAAGATTACTACTTGTTTTAGAGTTAAACAGGAAATGACTGGCTTTGAGACAGACATTAATCAAGGACTATGCAGAACGCGACTGGCAGTCTCTTACCGACCAACAGACTGGAAAATACAACAAACAACATTTTCTGAACTATCACTAACTCTGAAACAAGTAATATTGTCTTCAATACCCACTGCCAATTGCTTTATTAAACATGTTCTAACCAGCAGCTGTATAACAAAATATTTGTTAGTAGGAATCATCATTTAAAAATAACTCCGCGGTGGATTTATCTGAATGGAGTGGTAACTCCCATACTCAGTGCTCTGGAAGGCCCTGCCAGCACTGGATGACAGAGGAGTTTCCGTACGGTGGAGGATGATACTGAGTCGAGCCTACCGCTGCACCCCTCTGCAGGATTCCTGCCCCTCTGAGCAAGAGCCTGTGTCACCCTGCTGCTGCTTCCGGACATGACAGAAGCCTCACATGCTTGTGATTAGGCCTTTCGAGGAGGTGCAGTGGACACCCAACACTTACAGTCCCAAGTAAGAGGCAAGACCGTGAAGAACTCGAGACTGCCAGTCGTGGTGTGCCCAGAGACTGGATTAAGGCTGCCTTAATGCCTGGAAGAAATACCTAAGAGCTGATGACAACTAAAAACACTGACAATGATGATTTAGCTGGGAAGCACTCCACACTAAAGTTAACTTACAAGCACTGTTAGCGTATGGACACCTACAACCACAGAACAACAGGTGGCTTCACTGCAGCACAACAGCAAGGCTGAGGGCAGAAGGAAAACAGGCAGCAATGGGAATGCTGAACGTCACCTCAGGATGTGACGCACAGAAGTAAAAAAAAAAGATCCTGCTTCACCATGACACCTTCCGTGTTGCTAAATTCTTTGAAGAAACAAAGTGCCATGAGGAGGGAGAGGTGGGCAAAGCTGATAGGAGAACACGGACTTTCTCCTGCTTCATCCCACTCTTGTTTTCCTAACGTGAAAGGAAGACGAGAGTCGGCTAAGGCAAGAGCAGGCATTCTCGGCTCGCTCCCTGGCCAAGGTCAGAGAAGAACCGAAATGGGAGCACCATGGCACTGACTGCAGGCTCCAAGGGGGCCAACCAGTCTGTGCCTCAACTGGCAGAAACTCTGGAGATAGAGACACGCAGCCTCTTTTAAAGAGGCGAGTCCTGAAAGCAGGGATTTGGTCTCCTTAGTGTTTTTAGCTGAAAAGAACTCAAACGCAAAATGATTATTAGTTTAAGAGCTTAAATAACTGTGAGAAAAAAAGTTATTATACGGGAACTGCAAAACCAAAGTGAAAATTGTACTAAATTCAAACCCATCGGCTACCAGTCCGCATTAACCAAACTGTGATACCACACTCAGTGGAACACCATATTAACTACATTTCTTTGAAAGTGTTCACTTAGCCCTGGAAATCCCCATTAAATTATTTTCCCTCAAGACTACTCCAAAATGTTACCCTAGACTGTATCAGGGATATCAAAGCAGCTAGGTGTAATGCAACCTATCCAGGTCTGAAGCAGCTGGCTTTTGTTTGTAAATAACATCCCAAGATGCATTATTCAATAGCACTTCCAAGGATAAGTAAGAATTAGTTTAGTAAGTCTGTAAAACCTTTTTTTTTTTTCCTTAGCAATTAGTTAGATCTGTCTAACAAGAAGATTGACCAGCATTTTATTATAATTAAAACCAGAATGAATAACTGTAACATACACATATATTTTTACTAGAGAAATCACTGACTCATGATTTAGTATTTCCTAGTCATGCCCTTCTATTTTAGTATTTTGTTACTCAATAGTCTGTTTTCTCATTTCTGTTGGGAATAAAAGAAGCTTTTTCCCATGCAAGTACTACTGTCATGGGATCAAGCCATCAACAGTAAAAGAAGAGATGAGAATGAAAGAGATGAGAAATTCTAATCCTACTTTTAAATGTAAATGTTTAAATTAAAAAAGGTAAATAATTACTTCCTGATGCTGCTGCTTGCAAAGAATCTACTTTGCTCTTCACTCTGAATTTATAGCAATGATGACTTTTACACCAAGCAATTCTCTGTTATTTACTCAAAGTTTCTAAACCCCAATTCTCAAAAGACAACAAGCAGGTGTTCAGTTCAATCAATGCCTCTCTGGAAAGATTCAGCATCGTAAAGGATCCTCTGTTTCCTCCTCCATGCCCCTTGAGCTTGCAGCATTTTTATAACCTGTAAGGATCTCAGCACAGACCTTATCTTGCAGCCCTAGTGCAGACACTGTAAACACCGAAAATGTTGCCTCCTAAAGGACTACAGAATTGGGTCTTAGTACTTAAAATTAAGCTTGAAAAACTGATGACTACTTTTCCCCAGGACCCAGATCAGGTTTTAGGGGTTTTCTGCACCTTCCTGTCTGCTTGCTTCCCGCAGGGACTCAAAAAACTGAAAGATATGCCAATTATGCTCTTCTTCTGTAATTTAAGAGGGACAAGCACACTATTATACTAGAACATGTAATGTGCACTTACCAGACCATTGCAGTTGCTTAAGGCCACTTTAGTTGTACTGTGTTGGTCTTGCAAATATCCTGTGTAATGACAGTGGTCTAAAAAATCGTGCTTCCATTGTGGTCCATCTTTCCCCCAGTATTCTACTGTAAAATGTCTGGACACCAAATCTGTGTTGAGAGTCAGGTTTAAATGAAAGTGCTTGCCATAGGCAGAAAGTTTAAAAAATAATTTAGATGCTGCCAGTTCTTGGTCATAGGGGTCTGTGCTCCTCCTCCTTCTTGAGGGTTTAGCATTTTTCACAGTAAAGCTGAGGAAGGCTCCGTTTTGATCAACTCTTATTGGGATTGTTAGCTGGTAGTGTTCAAGGTAAGACAGGAATTCCTCTTTGTAATCACAAGGTAAGACAGTCCAGGGAGTGGGCATAGAAGAGAAGAAAATATAACAGGAAACAACAAGTAGTAGTATAAACATAAACCACACTTGGCTAAATCTCATCACCCTCATACGTAAAAGTCACTTTCATGTAAACACAAGATGTAGCATTTTACTAAATAAAATAAAACATTCTTTTCTTTCTTTTTAAGTCAAGAAGATGTGTTCAGTTTCCTATTAATTTGATGTCACTGGAAATACGAAAGTTTTTAACTACATCTTTCCCTATTTACCCAAAGTTTGTGAACATCTGGGGCTAAATTCTAACCTAAGAAGGTTAGAATTCTTCCCAGTGATACCATTCAAAGACAAAAGCTATTAGATCCACCTGCAAGAATAAAACCAGTAGTAATGAAAAGTATTATATAGTAAAAACATGTAAACAGCTCTTAATTTCATTAAAAACCTATATGTGTTAATGGATCAAAGTAAGATTAGATCCTTACTTCCTAGTCTAAAAACATGTTAACATTGTTATGGCAAGTCTCTAATTATCAAATACAGCATTTTACTAGATTTAATTTACAAGGCTTTCCTACAGTTAAAAGTAGACAGAAAGAAACTAAAACAAAAAAGTTAATCAGATTTGCTGTACTTAAACTTCCATGACAATGGATCATGAAAAAACTAAGAGCAGAGCCCGTATGATCTCACAAATTATGTAAATGTGGTTTAGAAAATATTACCCAAATGCAATGCAAAAACAGATGCTTCTTGTCAGCTACAGAGGTCAGACCCCTACCTTGAGAACTATATGAAAGCCTGTTGTCACTGTGAAATTCCGACGAAACCATGACTAGACTCAAAATCCATGTCCACGTCTTCCAAAAAATTTCCATAATTTAGAAAAACAGAAAGTTCTTTTTTTTCTCCTTGGAGAGCTACCTGTGTGCTACAGAGTTAACTCCACTCCAGAATCGCACCATAACAGGTATATTTATTTTATACTACTTCCAAATTAACTATTGGATGTTCCACTTTTCGAAACGTATTCTTCTCCAACAACCTGAACTTTCTTCGACATCTGCAGTCATTTTCTCAATTTGAAATAAGTATTTGTAAGATTCCTTAAGATATCAGTAAGATGTTAGACTGGACAGTTACTGAAATTGCTCCATTTCTTTTCCTGGAAAGCAAAAGAAAATAAGTCAAGGCAAATTCTTTTTGCTAAACAGATCTATACTGCAAAACACTAAGCCATGATAGTGAAGTACGCAATGTAACATTTTGAAGTAACATTCAACCATTATCACTTTTATGGTCCAAGGTCACAATCTTATACAAGACATGAACTACCATTGACCTTGAACAGCAGGCCCATACAGTTTAAGATGCATGTATCAACTTTATGTAAGGATTCATAAAATTAAGGTTTCTTGTTGCTCAAACACTGTGTTCAGACTTGTCCCAGCTATAATCAATGCTATGCACTCATTGATTTCAGCAGCGAATAACTAAAACCAATACACTGGTAGACAAAGGAAGAACCCAGGAAAGAATCCAGAGTACAGTTATCTGATCTTTCTGCAGCATGTATTTTGTTATTACTTGAGCCTGGGTTCTGCTTATGCAGGCAGAATTCTCATTCACTTAAATGGGAATGCTGCACGTTCTAATACCAAAGAACACATTTCAGTATCTGAAGCTATTCATCATACACATTCTAATTTTTCAAATACTTGTTGTCAAAAATGTTTCATATATATCTGAACTACAATTTGAGTAGTAGAATATGTTTTTATTTTCATTTTGCAGGTCACGGGATTGAGCAAATAACATGTTACTTGCCTTCCCCCCACCCCCACCCC